GGTGACCCCATAGCCATTCCAAAATTTTGTTGATAAAAATTGTCATTGTATTGAAAGTAAGTTGACTTTACACATATTGTTAAAAGTTCAATAATAATTTTTAATATTTATTTAAAAACAATGATTTATTTTGAAAAATCCTTCACGATCTTCATGTGCTTCATCCCATTAACTCAATTAATCTCGATGGCAATATGAATGATAATAATAATGGCAATTTTGCCAGTTTTAACGAGTTTGAGGTAGTGAAGTGGAAGTTGGGACGATTCGGAACGTGTAACGGTTCTTTTAAGTTCTTTTTTCTTTTCTTTTAATTCAATTAAGACCTGAAGAAAGAATAATTTTTAACCTGGGAACTATTCCTAAAGCTTTCCAAGAGCATGTTTTGGCAGTAATAATTCGCCCCTGGAAAGGATGGGCAAACTCATGGACAAAGCGAATTATTTATTATATTCTTATCCTTCCTGGGTCTCAGTCAAAATGTGAAGAAAAAAAAATGTTGCTATCGTTATCAAAAGAACCTAAATGAACCTAAAAATAAGTATGTAAATAAATTGTGTAACAATAGTAGGATAATACAGTATATGAAAATTCGCTCTGATAATTTGTCTGTGCAAATTGTATATATAATTTATAATAAAATATTACAAATCAAAATAATATATAAAATCTCAAATACACAATTTATTAACATACTCTTTTTTAGGTTCATTTAGGTTCTTTTGATAACGATAGCAGAAAATAGCTATCAAAACATCAAGGTAATTTTTCAAATTAATTTCTCTATTAATTGGAATTTTCTCTTACAGCTTGAGCCTAAGTGTGTCGCAGGATACCCTCTAGGTGATAGTTCTTGATTACTTTTTGATAAATAATTCGTTCTTATTGCGAAATAGGAGCACTATTTATCAATCCGTAATAAAAGACGTGAGGAAATTCTGTCTTTTTTAAAGACAAAAATTTTTGAGGCAAAATACCCAAAAAGAAGTTTGTAAAAAATGAATCCGCCTCAACAATATAGAACTTATCTACAACTTGTAATAAACAATTTTCAGCTGCTACTAAGTTCCAGCTATCGCTGACACCGCCCGACTTTGCTCAATTCAGGGTGAATGATCTGTTCAGAGGCCTGGGGCCCATAGCGATATTTTCAGCGAAACGCCACTGGTCGGCCCCCCGATTGGTGCAACTGCACAGAGGACGCACCAATGAAGGGTTCGGATTTTCGGTTCGAGGAGACGCCCCTGTTATCATTGCCATAGTTGAGCCTGGATCATTGGCGGAGGTAAATTTGAGGAAAGCCCCATTCGAGCTGGCTCTAAGCTTTGCGACGTTAATTTCAGTTTGGAGGCGTGAAAGAGGGCGACTTTATTGTGAGCATTGGGGATAAAGATGTCAAGTGGGCCTCCCATGAGGAACTGGTCGCGCTCATTAAAACAGCTGGGGATTCTTTGAGCTTGAAACTCGTTACTCCCATGGATCGCACGTACTTGAAGGTAGGTTCAAGTGGCGCCGAGGGGCCCATTTTAACATCCCAGCAATGTTTCAGTCGCTGAAGTCAAACCAGTCAAAGGGCTCGGTTTCCACACATAGCAGTTCCAGTGGCGTATCGAGTGGGATGTCGAGCCCCTCCGGATCCATGGCTCAACACAATCACAACAACAGCAAAAGACTAATCCACTGGAATCCGTTCAAGAGGAACCATTCTACCAGTAGGGAGGGAAAGGATTTCTTCGAGAACGTTATTCTGCGATAATCCAGGCGGTTATTAGCGCAACGATCAGGCTGAACATACAAGTTTTTTATATAAACAGTACCTTTCTAATAGCTGAAAAGTGACTGAGACTTAAAAGTACAGTACAAATTCACTTTTGACTGGCAAATCCTGAGGAATTCAGTTCGAAGCCTAACATTCTGTATATAAAGTTATTTATTTTTAATCGCCGTGTTAGGAAATAGGACCTTAAAATGATAATTTATTTCCCTAGAGCGATATCATTATGCAGCGGAATTATAAGTTCTGGTATTTATAAACTGTTAAATAATTGAAAGTATTGTTGTGTACAGTTGAAGCAATAAAATTTATTAGTTATCGTCGCTCCATGTTTTTTATAAACTCCCATAGAGCTTAATGACTAAGATGTGCGATTCTGGATAGGACTGGGCCGGACTGCAAAAATGACGATTGCATCAAAAAATATCTTTATTAGGAAATATTTCCGTTTAAATGCGCAATAAATTCAAACAGGGACATACAGAGGTTCCTAAACACGTGTGTGAAGAATTGTGGCTTAAACGACCTAAAATTAAATAAAAAACACCTAACAGCGAGTTACACACTAAATATCTAAAGATGGATTGATACGGGCACAGATAAATACACATTGCTGAGGTAGACAATTTACAGATGGTGCATTAGGAAAATATCGGAGTTAGTTTGTTCCAGAAGATCCAAACCCGCCTTCGCCCCGGGCGGTTTCAGGCAGATCCTGACAAAATAAACACTCCCTTTATTAAATAAATATAATAAAAAAATCATTCATTCAAGAGGAGACTGGGAGAGGAATTCTGGAGAATGGGAGGATAATCGGAGAAGACGCCGATTTGTTTAAGCTTTAAAGGTGAATAAATCCTATCAAAATTCTGTAATTTTTGCAACTTGTACTAGACTGTATGCAAGGGCGGATCCAGGGGGGGGGGTCATGACTCCCCATTTAATTCTCTATCCAACGATGCCAAAACGAATTCGGTGGCTCGAATGGTTCTTGAGAAACCTCAAAAAAAGCAGCGTCATGTTCAAGTGGATTTTGCAACTCAAAAAAAACCACGCAAATCTAAAACTTCTTGAATTCAAGCATTTTTTGAGAAAACT